TTCTTGCTAAAATAAAGAAAATCACACAAACCAGGGGATGACAGCATAATACACATGATAACAACAGTTCCTAATATACGCCTTCATCTGAGATCATTCTGAGGTCAAAAGCAAAGAGTTATGATGGACCTGAAAATTTATGAATTTTTTTTAAATGAAGGCTAGGGGAACATCTTTATTAAATATTATATTTGACATTTTATTTTTTATTATGAATGATACTGTGTGTTAAGAAGAGCAGACACTTTAGGTTCAGATGACTTCTTTTTAAATTTCAGACTGGCTGCTAATCCCAGATTTGAGTTCACAATTAACCCCATGAGCCTTATTACGTGTCAGTTTGTCTTGGCGTGACTATTGCCTATTGTTAGGATCCTGGAAGCTATGCCACCGATATGTCACATACCATCAGACTTAACCAAGGTGGGTAGATTTTAGTGGATCTTCTCAACTAAAACAAAGTAGAAAGGATTGTCTGGTGATCTAGTTCTTGAAAGGAGTGGATTACAATCCCATGGATCTGTGTTAGTCTGGGGAGAGTAGAGAAACAAATTGATAGAGACTCATATGTGTATAAGAAAGAGCTTTATATGCAAGAGCAATTGAATATTGAGAAAAGATCCCATCCAGTCCAGATCAAGTCTATAAGTCCAGTATTAGCCCACATGTTCAATACCAATCTCTAGTGGTATTTCAGACTCTTGAAACACCTGCAATGATGCTGAATGCAAGAAGATCACAGGTCAATGGGTTGGAAGTCTTCTGGATCCTGTGGCATTCTGAGCATCTCAGTGCTGACAGAGTTCTCTACTGGGCTCCTCTGGCTCCAGAGGTTTGGATCACAAACCAGTCTTTGGGGTCAATTGTTTCTCATAAGAAGTCAAGGATCGAGGTATTTCCACCAGGGGAATCTAACAGGTCTATGTGGCTTCTCCAGGTCCCAGGGCATAATGCCACGTGTCTTGTCAGTAGATCGTCTCTCCAGGAGGGAGTCTTGTCAGTAGAGAGTCTCCAAGGAAGTGAGAAGAGAGAGAGAGGTGTCTCTGGCCTCCAAGGAGGAAAATACAGGTCTTTCCAGAATTCTCAGAAGGCTATGCCCACACAGAGATCTCATTGGCTATATCTTGATTGACAGACCAGACTCTACCCCTTCACTCATAATCCTCTCAAATTGGCACCAGATTATGTAACTACCACAGGATCACAGCAAAACACAACCAAACACAGCTTTATTTACAGGGTTGAGTTTATAAAGCACTTGTCACAAAAAATGTGCAAATTCTCAATATAGTTGTACCTACTATACTAGATGTATCATTGTCTCTAAGGTGCTTTAAATTTTGGTTCAAAAACAAGAACAAAAAATAACCCCAAAATTCCTGAAACTTAGTCAGGTTGATTAGTGTCTCTTCATAAGAAGACCAATACACAAGTGTTTCCTTTCTTTTTAAAAAGCTATTAGTAATTGTGGTTAATATATATATCATATCATGCCGTAGTTCAATCACATCAAACAAAACTGTACAGTTGCTACCACATCAATCTTCAAACACTTTTTCTTCCTGGACTCCTTGACATCATCTCCCTTTTAGACCTCCAACACCATTGTTCCTCGAACCCCCCAAAACCCTTATTCTACTTGCTGTCCCTCTAGGTTCATCAAGTCTGGGTTTCATATACTGAAAACCAGACAAATACATAACACAACTTCAAGAGGGTGACCCTAAAACCTCTGAGATACACCCTACAGTGAATGAACACAAACAAAACAAAATTAGCACATACATTTTGTGGACCCACAAAATCTTCTTGTTCTTTATTGACAAGGTTTACTTAGTCTCTACTGAACAATGCTACACTTTGACTTGGTCATTATATCCCTCTACCATGACTGAATGAGTGGCCACAGAATGCTGTCAATCTCCATGAGAGTGGGGGGAAATATATGTAAAGCTCTGTGTTGTACCCCTTTCTTTCCATCCCTCCATTTAAGACTTCCCAATGACAAGAAAAACCTGCCAGTAATGTAATTACTTTTATTATGGCATGTAATTCCAGGACCGAGATTGCAATTAAAAAAAAAACTGGATCAAATATCTTCTAAACTCTAACTCTCTGAAATGTCTAACATTTAAAGCATCAGACTTTATAATGAAGAAGAAATTAAGAGAAAACACGCTAGGATTTCTATCTTTATCTCTAAATTCAAACACACACAAAGGTTAAATGAATTCATCAAGTCTAGCATAAATAATAGAATCACAATCCAAAACATTGTGGAGTTTTAATTCATATTTATACATTCCAATAAAATATCTGTAAGGCTTATGTTTCCAGAAAAAAAACACCCAAGGCAAAAGACAGAATGAAGGAGAAATGCATAGAAGAATCATTGCAAATAGATTCGTATCACTACTAAAGAAGGGGAAACAGAACACAGAGATTCTCTGCGCTTTTTATTCCAGAGATATTTCCAAAGGACTGGGTTTAACGAAGCCATCAATTCGACTCTTGAAGCGCACCTGGAGAGGCCTGGATAGGCCAACGACGACGGTAGCCTTGAGATTTCTGGGCACTAGTGGTGAGAGAGTAGAAGAAGCGATCTTGATAGAAGAGGAAATGCTGGATTGACCTCCAGGCAGTTTGTTTGGCTATTCCAGAATCTTTCCTAACTGATTTGTTTATTCAATATCTTAATAGCTCTTTGTGACTTAGGATGCATCTCCCAAACGATGACTTTGTTATCTTCTGTATAGAGACATACTTCATGTGTCTAAATTACCCGGTATTCATATCCAGAGAAGTTGAAAAAACACAACATGAAACTCACTGAGATACATATAATTGGGAGGAAGCTGGAGTCTCTTGAAACATATGGTGGGAAGGAATATCATCGTTTGTCATGAAGGTCTACACATGCCCCATATTTACATACCAACAATTGGCTTACAATTGCTTCCAATGCATGGCAACAACCCCTGTGCGTCAGAGAGGAATTTTGCCCGTAAGGCTTTCAATAACGAATATTTTGGAAGATTGTCAAATTTTCCTTCTGTGGTACCTGGGGGTAGACAAGAACTGCCCGTCCTTTGCTTAGCAGCCAAGCGTGTTCACTGCTTGTACCAGCTCTTGTTTCATCTTCTTGCCTCAGATGGCCGCAGGTTTCCGGGAGTTCATTGAGTTGCTTAGTACAGAATACTCTGCCTTGCTCGTGCTTACCTGCTCGGTCTTTATCTCATCAGATCCCTCTACTGCACAGCACAATCCTGTGGCAGGTCTCTGGCTCTCGCGTACTTAGTGGTGTCATAAATGTGGACAGAGTAACAATATGGATGAATTATTTAAAATCAACATAGTTGTAGGGAAACAACAACCACTCCTTATTCTACTGACAGGTCAGAAATTGCATTCTTTCATCTTTACACCTTCTGTCTGTATGCCTTTATGCACATTTATCTTATCTCTTACTAGAATTCCTAATTCAGCTTTTCAAGTATCCTTAATACACTGCATGTATAATGTTCCTAATAGATGTTTCATACCGTTTACGACAGGCAAGCATGATAGAACGCTATAAGGTCATGCGTTTCCAGTACCAATGTTTTTCAAGTACAGCACTCTTCTGATACAAGCAATGCCAATAGTGTTCAGGTCAAGATGATTCCAACCCAATTTTTATGATTTCTTTTACTTTTTGTGCTTAAAGCAAAAAGAAGCAAACTCCACATATCACAGAATTTTAAATGACTAGAAAGCCTATTATAGAGTTCAAGTCAGATTTAATGATGAATCCAGACACTCTCTAATTCAGAGAGCAGCCAAGCAGGCACTGGGGCTGTTTGGTCACATCGAGAAAACGGTCCCGTGTTGTGTTGTCATTACAGCTGCCCAGAGACTTTCTGCTGAAACTGTTTCTTTACCCCTATAACTTGTTCCTTGTCTCAGAATTACATGGTGATCATTGGCTATCTTTTAGTTGCTTTTATTTGCAATGATCATTAAGGAAACCACAATGGGAAGTTTATAACACAGCAGTAATATAAACCGGTGGTTGCTTTGTCAGCATTACAATAATAAACTTAGTGGAGTCTGCTTTCCTTTGAACTTTCTCCCCCTCTCCCCACTCCCCAATTACACGAGAGACTATTCACTTGGCTAAGGTAGATCTCTGCCAGCTTTGGAACTGTTCCATCTGGCTTGGGACAAATAGACACTTGGGATTTCAGACTTTGGTCTAGATATCTTTACCTTGTTATTGTTGTTATTCGTCACATAGTCAGTTCGGACTCACAGCAAGCCTATGCACAACAGAACAAAGCATTGCCCAATCTTGCCCCATCCTCAGAATTGTTCTGTTTGAATTCATAGTTGAAGCCACTGGGTATATCCACCTTTTCTTCCCCTATTGCACTGCCCTGCTCCTTTACCAAGCATGATACATTTTCTAGGGACTGGTCTCGCCAGCATCGATGCTAGGGAGCACAAGTTTCAAGACAGATGTAGTTGTTCTTTCAGCAGTCCAGAGTTTTTTGAAGATTCTTTTCAAACACCGCAAATCAAATACATGGATTCTTCTCAGGTCTTCATTACTTGGAGCACCAGGATCTTTAAGCGTCAGGAGCTTCACTTTCGGCGTCAGAAACTCCCCCAGGCTTTTCCTCTTGCTCTTCCGTCTGTCTGTTACCAGGACTCTCGGCTAATTTCCTATAATGAGCGTGGTTGGATAACTATCCTTACCTATAACCACAAAGCAATTGCTACTTTTCCACTGAGCATAGTTGGAAGAAAAAAAAAAAAAAAGCCTGACGTATTGAGAATGTTTTCCGGTTTGCATACAAAGCTCAAAGGAAAGGAAAGCCGGAGAGCTCATATCCTCTGGGTAGCTGCACCAGGTATATCATAAGCACTTATTTCTAAGTTTCTTTATTTGTTGTTGCTGTTGTTAGGTGCCATCAAATCAGTGCTGACTCACAGTGAGCTGAGGGACAACAGAAGGAAACCCCGCCAGTTCCTGTCCCATCCCCACGATTGTTCCTACGTTTGAGCCCATTGTTGCCAGCACCATGTCATCCATCTCATTGGTGGCCTTCCTCTTTTGCACCGCCCCCGCACTATCTCAAGCAGGATGTAGTTCTCCAAAGACTGGATTCTCCTGATACCGTGTCCAAAGTACATGAGATAAGTCTCGCCATCTTTGCCTCGAAGGGGCACTCTGGCTATACTTCTTCCAAGACAGATTTGTTTGTCTGTTGGCAGTCCATGGTCCTGTCAATATTCTTTGCCAACACCACGATTTAGATGCATTGATTTGTCTCCAGTCTTCCTTATTCAAAGTCCAACTTCCACATGGATATATGGCGATTGCATTTCTCTGGCTTGGGTCAAGTGCACTTTAAACCTCACAATAACATCCTTGCTTTTCAACACCTTGAAGAGATCAGACTTGCCAGGCCCTTGTGGTGCAGTGGCTGTGCATTGAGCCGCTGCTAACCACACGGCCAGGAATGAGAAACCACCAGCAACTCCTTGGGAGAAATGTCAGGCTTTCTGCTCCTGGAAAGAGTCAGAGTCTAAGAAGATGATGCAGCTTCTCTAATTATTTGTTCAGCATACAGCTAAATATGATGAAGGATACAAGCCTGATGTATACTTCTGATTTTTAACCATGCAGTATTCCTTTGTTCTATTAGCACAACTCCCTCTTGATTCATGCACAGGTTCTGCATGAGCACAATTCAGTGTTCTGGAATTTCTAGTCTTATCAGGGCTATCCATAATTTTTTATGATCCATACAGTCGAATACCATTTCATAGTTAATAAAACACAATTAAACATATTCCTCATATTCTCTTTCTTTCAGCCAAGATCCATCTTATTTATTTAGCAGATTGCTAAACTCATGCACAATATTCCATTTAAAGCTTGCAGGGTGGATCTCAAAAGGAGGCTTTCCACTGGAAACATGCAGACCACCTGTGATACTGTTATAAATGCAAATTAGTATCTTGCTGTACTCTCTCCTCCCACCTCCCCAACTCCCATCCCACTCTGCACACTGTGTATATTGGACCAGAAGCCTTGTGGGTGGAACCCAACAACCATTGTCCTTAGATGCCCCAGAAACATCTTGATGCATAGTTCTGTTTGAGAACCACTGCTTAGGTCACATGATCTAAGAAACTTCATTTCATCTATTTTATAAATGAGAAAACTGAGCCCCCTATGGTTTAATTCATTTATCAAAATCACAGTAATTCTGTCACACTTCAAAGCCTGAGATAATCTCTTA